ATTTGTCTTTTTTTGTAATTTGACTCTGAAAACTTTTTTAAGAAAATTAGTTAAACACAACATGATTATTAAAAATACTTTTCAAATGATAAAGTCAACCGTAAATTATTATTTTTTCCAAAAATACTTTTCTTAAAAGTTATTTAAAAAAAAAAAAAGAATCTAAAAATAAACAGGTCATTGATTCATTGTACCTATTTGATCGATTGAATAAGTAAGTTATGTTTTAAGAAAATTAGTTAAACACAATATGATTATTAAAGATACTTTTCAAATGATTAAGTTAACCACAAATTATTATTTTTTTCAAAAATATTTTTCTGAAAAGCAAATTAATTGTGCCATTTTTTGTTTAATTGAATAAGTAAATTATTTAATAAAAAACAGATTAGGAATAAAAATTCTATAATCCAAAAAGGGAAAAATGATTTGAACCACTATAAATATCAATGGAAAATGTTTTTTATTCAACACACATCAAAATAATTTCCACAAAAAAACTCAACATTATTTGAGAAAAAGATGGCCATTACTAAGAACTTTATTTTCTTCACTTTACTTATTTTTGTCATCTTTCCTGCTCATGAATGTAAGTATGATTAAGAAAATTTCATTTTTCATTATACATTTAAAACTATAATTAGCTAGGATTCACTGTTAAATTGCTCGTTACTAACATAATATCATGATAATTTATCACTAGATAAAATTACTGATAAATTTTACTGTTTAGCTATGAAATTTTGTCTAATACTAATTCATGTTGCCTTGTATTTTACAAGATAAAATTAGTGTTTTTTTTTCGATTTTTTGTTCATGTGTCTTGATATAAGTATCAGGGTCTTAAAGGGGAAAATAACGCTCATATCTAGAGATGGGTAGAGCTAGGATGTATCCTTCGGATTGAATGAACCCCTTTTTCTAAAAATTACTACAATGTATATATAATGCCAAAACTATTATTTTTACGTATATATAATAAACCAATATTTTCTCAAATGGATATTTAGAGATCTCATTTGTTCATAGATCTTGAAATCAAATCAATATCCATTTCTTAATAGATCTATTTATCAATTTTGTATGTTTGCTTCTTTATATTTTCAAATTCTTTAATGAGAATTCTGACTCCACTACTGATAATCTAGGACTCGAACCTTATATATATAAATTGATAATCACTTGCATTTTATTTATTTTTATATTTTAATCTTAGTACTGGCAAGTGTTTTAAGAACCCATCAGGATCAGGATGGCAACTGCATTGTGTTTATGATCAACAAAATACATGTTTAAATAGTTGTCCCTATTACCCTCCTTTTAATAAATTTAATTAATTAAGAAATCCTCTTCTAAGAGTTTTGTTAAACATCTAAATTATGCTCCATATATATATGAAATTATTAAAATATTATTTCCATTCATGTTGTCAATGTTTAGTTACAATGTGGCAAGTTAGTTCTGAATTCTGAATAATTTCGTATGAATTTTACATTTTAACATTAATTATCGATGAAAGTTAAATAGGTGGAGTACTTACAATTTTCTCTCTTTTTCTTAACGTTGATCTAAGTTCTGTTCGTAATAAAATCATAATGTGTGCCTTGATAATATTTCTTTATACATATATAAGCCTTGTATATCATTGGCAACAATTAGTTGATCACAAGCTATAATCCTCAACAAAAAATGAGATTTGTTATTTTATAAGTCACCTTACTAGCTACCACATGTAAAACTAACCTAATTAATAGTATATAAAAAGTTACGCTATTGATGTAATCTCTCATCTTAATAATCTTTTTTTTTAAAATTATTATCTTATATTTTAATGCAGGTGAAGAAGTAATTAATGAAGATGGGATACTTATGGCTCCTGGATGGTGTTTGAAGAGCCCAATAAAAGCAGGAGATTGGTGTTGTTAGAAATTAAAGTCGAGGACAAAACAAATTTACAACATTATATATAAATTCCTATGGGAACCCATCATTATCTATTTGGAACATTTATATTCTCTAATCTAAAGAGAGTGAGAAAACAATTAAACTATGAAACATAATTGTGTCACACGTGATGTGCTTCCAATACTATGAAAAAACAATTAAATCTTATTTATGATTCATTGTACCTATTTGTTCGATTGAATAAGTAAGTTATGTTTTAAGAAAATTAGTTAAACACAATATGATTATTAAAAATACTTTTCAAATGATTAAGTTAACCACATATTATTATTTTTAAAAAAAATATTTTTCTGAAAAGCTATTTTTTTAAAAGAACATCTAAAAATAAACATGTCTTTGACTCATTGTGCCAATTTTTGTTTACTTGAATAAGTAAATTATTTAATAAAAAAAACAGATTAGGAATAAAAATTCTATAATCCAAAAAGGGAAAAATGATTTCAACCACTATAAATATCAATGGAAAATGTTTTTTATTCAACACACATCAAAATAATTTCCAATTTCTAAGAACTTTATTTTCTTCACTTTCTATTTCTGACATCTTTCTTGCTCATGAAGGTAAGTATGATTAAGAAAATTTCATTTTTCATTAAACATTTAAAACTATAATTGGCTAGGATTCATTGTTAAATTGCTCGTTACTAACATAATATCATGATAATATATCACTAGATAAAATTACTGACAATTTTTACTATTTAGCTATGAAATTTTGTCTAATACTAATTCATGTTGCCTTGTATTTTACAAGATAAAATTAGTGTTTTTTTTTCCGATTTTTTGTTCATGTGTCTTCATATAAGTATCAGGGTCTTAAAGGGGAAAATAACGCTCATATCTAGAGATGGACAGAGCTAGGATGTATCCTTTTTCTAAAAATTACTACAATGTATATATAATGTCAAAACTATTATTTTTACGTATATATAATAGATCGATATTTTTTCAAATGGATATTTAGAGATCTCTCTTGTTCATAGATCTTGAAATCAAATTAATATCCATTTCTCAATAGATCTATTTATCAATTTTGTATGTTTGCTTCTTTATATTTTTCAATTCTTTAATGAGAATTCTGACTCCACTACTGATAATCTAGGACTCGAACCTTATATATACTGGCAAGTGTTTTAAGAATCTATCAGGATCAGGATGGTGTTGTGTGACAACTGCATTGTGTTATGATCAACAAAATACATGTTTAAATAGTTGTCCTTATTACCCTCCTTTTAATGAATTTAATTAATTAAGAAATCCTCTTCTAAGAGATTTGTTAAATATCTAAATTATGCTCCATATATATATATATATATATGAAATTATTAAAATATTATTTCCATTCATGTTGTCAATGTTTAGTTACAATGTGGCAAATCAGTTCTGAATAATTTCGTATGAATTTTGCATTTTAACATTAATAATCGATGAAAGTTAAATAGGAGTACTTACAATTTTCTCTTTTTTTTCTTAACGTTGATCTAAGTTCCGTTTGTAATAAAATCATAACGTGTAATAATATTTCTTTATGCATATATAAGCCTTGTATATCATTGGCAACAATTAATTGATCACAAGCTATAATCCTCAACAAAAAATGAGATTTGTTATTTTATAAGTCACCTTACTAGCTACCACATGTAAAACTAACCTAATTAATAATGCATAAAAAGTTACGTTATCGATGTATATAACTTAATTTTAGACGTACATAAAAATTACAGTAAACATGACAAAGTGTTCATTTTCTCCAAAGACAACATCTTGAAGCTAAACAAAGATATGACCGAGGCTCTGGATATGTACGACATTATGTATTTAGTGTAATTCTATAGGTAGGGGTGGAATCTTGTTTTGTGGTTAAGGTGGAAAAAGTTGATCATAAGTGAAATAAACGTGAAAAAGAAGATAATCCTACATATATGTATATGAAGAAAGATATGATAAACTTTTTATATAAGTGAATTGGCCAAATAATATATATACCTATTGTCATCGATCTTGTCAGACTTGGTAAGTAAAATTCCATCGATTAGCCTCGGATTTGGTGAAGGGAAGATCAGATCATGACCTAAATAATTACATTGGATATACAATGTTAAAGTTTATTATTTTTAACAAATTACATTGTATATATACTATCTTCCGACTTGTGAGATAAAAAGGTTGTTTCCGAGTTTCGATAGACTTGAATTATATTTAATCGGATTCAACCATGGTTTTCTATACTAAGCAACGTGTGTCTAAAATCCTTAATAACTTTTTTTTTCTAATTGAATTAATTACAAATTCACATACGTGAATTATATTATAACATATCCGTTGTAGTCTAGTTGGTTAGGATACTCGGCTCTCACCCGAGAGACCCGGGTTCAAGTCCCGGCAACGGAACTTTTTTTTCATTTAATAATATTTTTTTTCCCATCCCTTTTATATGTCATACTTTTCTTTTTAGCATGTTCCAAAAAAAAGTCATACTTTCTTGTTTGAAAACAATTTGAAAAGATGTCGATTTCACGCTCGTTTTCCTATTTAGTTGTCACAATTTTAGGTTTCACGCCCCTTAAAAAACAAGGTAAGTTTATCATTGTACCCTTATATAGTGTTCTCTTAAAGTCAAATTTTCAATAAATGAACATGAATTAATTTATTTAGATTAATTAAATTGATCAATGAACAAAATTGAATTATTTAGTTTTCCTATGTTGATCAAATTCACACTTTCAAGGCTAACAACTCTCGACAGTAAAATAAGAAGAATAATATCATTTATTATTGATTTTGTGAAATGACAAGTACTAAGAAACGACGTATAAATAAGACCGGAGGGAGTAATACATCTTGATATATATGTTGCATGTCTATAAATAGAAAATAGTGAAATGGCAGGAAAGTTTAATTTCTTTGCTACCTTCTACATGTACATAGTTTCAACCTAAAAATGTTACCACACCCGTGTCAGATTCTCGAAAAATGTACTACTTTTTGGAGGATCCGACACGCCTCTCCACAACACTTGGGAAGAGTCCGAGCAATATAGGTTTCAACAGAATTAGCTAGTACATATACATAAAATTTTGTGATCTTCAATCCTTTATCAATGGAGGAAAACACGAAAACTAAGAAATAGTTCTGGGGGCTTCCTTTTTCGCGGGACTATAGCTACCGTAAATATAAGAGCCAAATCCCCAGAATGTAATAATCAAAGACAGGATCTTGAAACCACTCATAGGATCATGCAACAATATCACAGCTGCAATGCTAGTAATCGGTACTCTTACAGCGTTAAGGACACCAGCCAAGACAGTGGATGAGAGGAAAACAACCGCGGTGGCTCCCAACACTCCCAACTGGAAAGTGATAATCCCCCAAATGATAACTGAGTAATACGCGTTTTCCCCACCCTTGAATGTACTTGCCTCAGATTTCATCCCATGGAAACCGTTGCTCATAACAAGTCCGATTGTTGTGAATATAAAGGCAAAGAGGGAAACCATGAGTTGCTGCTCAAGAACAACAAGGAAAGACCTTTTACTGAGTAATTTAACAAAAATTAACTCTGATAAGGCGAAAATCAGACCATGGAGTGCAGATCCCAGTATATCCCACACAAAACCAATTATGTACTGACGGTCGGTGATGTATCCATACCTGTCTGAACTTGAATCAAGAGCAATGATCGTCATGGCAGCAGTGATGATCACAATAGAATTTATAATTGATAGATTCATAGTGTTTTTCACGAGAACATATCCGAATAATGCAGAGAATACCAGTGAAGTCGAGGCTAAAAGAGCAGCGGTTGATGCTGGCAGGTAGGCATAGGCATATGCATACATGAGGTTGTCAGCAGCACTCAAGAATCCCAAGACAACATAAGATAAAGTTAGTTTTAAGTCAAGTGGCGTCGGGAACACTTTAAGAAAAAAGTATGAGGGAATTAGGACTATCGCGATCATAGGCCATCCTGCAACTGAAACCCATGATATTATCCACTTGCTCTTCCCACCATTTGCAAAATATAAACGGGACAAGAGGCTAGAAGCAGGGAATGGAACAAGCATCCCCATGCTACTTAGAAACAGAAGAATCCAATGTGAAATCAGCTTGTTGTAATACATTTCACAAAGCATTGTCCAATAGGCCGAGATATATTGCCATAGTGACTTTGATGGCGGCGCTTCATCCATTAGTTCCTCTACAAAAAGCCAGTCATCATAGATAAATGTCAATTTTCAAAAACAACATGACAGAGTATTTGATCGGAGAAAGGAATCAAAGAATGACTCATAAGTAGCAACAACAACAACAGCAACATATTCAGCATGATCCCACAAGTGGAGTCTAGGGAGGGTAGTGTGTACTGTGTACGCAACCTAGCCTCTACCTTGGGAGATAGAGAGGTTGTTTCTGATAGACCCTCGTCTAAAGTAAAAGCAATTTTTAAAAAACGAGAGAGAAGAAGCAGTGACTCATTAGTAGCATTCAATATAAAAGAGTAACAGAAACATGGAGTAAGTAAAGCAAATATACAATCAGAAAATGCTTGATAAAAGGTTTTAGCAAACAGGCTTGAACCTTGCAGTACCTACTTATGAACTTCCTTAGCTAATTCGGTACATAACTACCTTATGATCTACCCATAAATCACAGTTTATACAAATGATCTCCGTAAAGGGAGGATATGCAAATGAATAACCACTTAAAAATTAAGGACTTGAATACATACAGAGAAGATAATTATAGCAAATTCAAGCTAAAACTAAATGTTTCAGCTGCCTAACTACTGCCAAAATGTGAAACTCAATATATGCTCTTCGCGTATTAGACACCTATCATCTCAGGGGCAGAGCTAGAGTATAGCTTATGTCTTTTGTTCGAAACAAATAACTTTGGTTCAAACCCTTGAATATACACAAACCATTCATTTTAAGACCGGTAACTTAAAAGGACTAGAATCCCGAACTCAATTTTACTCTCCATTTAGAAAGTGGGGCCCTGAATCTTTCTCTCTAGTCATGTCATTTGTCAAAGGGGGACAAGGCTCTGATTATTTCATAAGTAAATTCGTATTCTTCAAGCAATCAATTCAGTACCACAACCTCTCTACCTCCACGAGGTAGTGATAAGACATGTGTACTTCCTCACTAGTGAGATTGAGATTTTACTGAATATGTTTGTTATACACTATACAAGTACTGTCATTCAACACACAAGAAAAAAAAACCCAAGTGCTAAAAATCAAAACTTGAATTCACAATTTTCAAGAACCATGGAAGGATTTACAAAAACAAGAATAGCCACAAAGCATAAAAGCTGAAAATTTCAACAATACACAACACAAGTACAATCATTCAACACACAAGAAAAAACACCCAAGTGCTGAAAATCAAAACTTTAATTCACAATTTCAAGAAGCATGGAAAAAAACAATCATCTTGACAAATTTAACATACCCACAAAGCACAAAAGCTGAAAAAAGTTCAGATTTTTTTTTCAAGGGTTTTCACATAATTAGTCGGTCAGATTTACTGTTTACTTTTTCGAGCCATCATACACATATTATACTGACCTGGAACTGAAATAAGCAATGGTTGCTGCATGAACCCAAGAATTCAGGGGACAGTGAAGGAAGTTGAGAGTGGAGATACCAGAACTAATCCGGTCGGGTCAAAGAAAATTCCGGGTGTGCTCAATTTTGAACAGGGGTTCTTGAGATTTTACAACCATAGAAGCAGAGATTGAGAAAAATTTATGGTATCTAAATCAGACAGCAAATTGTGGTACTGTGTTCTATGGTCCACAAATCAAAAATCAAGATTTCAATGATTAGATGAAAGATTTCAATAATTGGCTTTTAATACATAGTGAAATTTGGGGATAATTTATTTAGACACTTGAATTAAGTCTTTCAACTTTTGATCCTTTTTTGTGTGTTTTCAGGTCTATTAGATAGTTAACTTAATTACATAAAATATGTGTTCTTTTTTAATTATATGCATTTGTATTTCGCTTCAATAAATAGTAAAATTCCAGATGTGTATAACTAAAGGAGAGATATATAAATAGATGAATGAAAAATGTGTGCAAAAGTTTTTTCAAAATTTGAACTAAAAATGTCTAATTAAATACTTTATGTGGAAGAGTGTTCAATTGAAACATGATTTAATTCGAGTGTCCAAATGAAATATTAAGAAAAATTTAAGGAGTTGTCTATGTATTAAGCTAAAATAACTATATCTCAATATACGAAAAGTATACATTAATTATATATAAATTAAAATAAAAAATTGTAAATTCCAATTGATATACTAGAGATATACATTTCATGACTATTATTTTGATGGACAAGGATATGATTGCAAATAGGAGGTTGTGGAGGATACAAATTAGGATAAAAGGTTTATAGGTAGTCGAATGTTTTCTCACTTACCCTTTCATACTAGTAGTCATAGCATTACTCATGTAGTTTTTTTGTTCTTTGAGTTCATTTACTATATATCATTTCTTATAGTTGGATTATCATATTATTTTATTATAGTTATTGTTCAGAATGATTTGTCATATTTTCTACTTGTATTTTATCATGACTTCTTGATTTTCATTTTTTTTTTCATACTACTTTGAAGTTTAGACTGTTCTTTTGTCGAACGGAGGATTTATCAAATTTTTTTTAGGTAAATTCAAGAAAATAATATTTTTTTTATTTTTAGTTTAAATTCACAACTAATCTTTCCCGCATCAATTTTAAAAAAAATTTATTTCAATCCACCCACGCACCTACTCTTTTTTTTATGGTTTTCCATCCCATGTCCAGAGTCCACATTGAAGCTCCAACTGAATTTGGATTGCCTCTATAGGGCCCATTCGGGCTCGAACCTGAAACATCTGATTAAGAATGAAGCACTCTCACCAATGCATCATCACAACCCATGTTGGTCACCTACTTTATTCTCCAACCTAAGCAAGTCAAAGAATATTATACTCATGCCTGTCATTTGTCAGGGGGGACTGATTATTAATTTAATAAGTAAATTATTATTCTTTAAGGAATCAAATCTTACCTGCCAACAATAAAAAAATTCAGCAAGACATAACAGTAGTGTCATCCAACACACACACATACCAAAAAAAAAAAGTGCTACAAATCAAAACTTGAATTCAAATTTTTAAAGAACTGATAACGACAATAACATACTCAGTATAATTATATAAATATAATTTAGAAAAGAAAGTAAGTAACCAAATTTTACCATTATCTTTGTACGATAGAGATATTATTTTTGATAGACATTAAGCTCAAAAGAAACGCAATCGATGCACGAAAAAAACAACAACATATCCAGACTCCAGTGTTATAACTTATAAGTGTAGTTTGGATTTAAAAGGGTAAGATGTAGATAAACCTTACATTTATCTTTATGAGATAGAAATATTATTTTTAATAGACCCTCTAATTAAAAGAAATGTAACTGATACAGAAAAAAATAAAAATAATAAGAGATAACAACATAGCTCAAAAACACATCAAGAGTAAGAAAAATTGAGTGATATCCAAATTATACTACTAAAAGTGGACAATATTTAAACGTACTAACTCTCTTGACTAATTCTTGACCTTCATACCTACGATCTGAATTCAACCCAAACTTCAGCCTGAAATAATCGGACCGGGTCAAAGAAAATCCGGGTCTACCCATTTTCGAGATTCTTGAGATGAGAAATCAGACAGCATATTATAGTGCTGTGTTTTATGGTCCACAAATTACTCATTTAATTGGTTGGTGGCATTGGGAATCAAATAAAATCTTTTTTATGTTCGATCGAAAATAATTATAATCGCTAATTAATATATAAAAGATATACATTAACTATAAAATAAAATTGTGAACAACTAATATACTAGTTATTTTGATGAACGAGAACATGATCGTAGATAAAAGGTTGCGGAGAATATGAATCAGAATAAAAGATTAATAAATAATACTTAGAGTATTGTTTCACTTACTCTTCTGTACTAATAATATCTTATTATTTCAAACCTTTAATTTAATTTATATATATTTATTTGGTTGTTATGAAAAATAACAGTAAATTTTGACCCAACAAATAAACGTGTTTTGCGCTAGGTTTTTTTTTTTTTTTAACTTCAAGTGCTAGAAGAATTATGACTTTTTTTTTCTTTACTGCCAAATGGCTTTAATTTAATGATATTTTATTATTTCAAACCTTTTGATTTACATCATAAAGATGTTTTTAAAAACGTGTTTTTAACGTGACGAAAAGGGAAATATTTTACTTTAAAAAACTTCGAGTAGGTCATAATTTCAACTAGTGATGGTAATCAAAATCTCTTTTGTTGAAAAATTAAAATTATTTATATATATTCTAGTAAACAAATGTTAGGATTAAATCGAGGTTGGTTTATTTGGTTGGTCATACAATAACCTAGAACTATGAAGAAATTCATCCCATTTTTTACTGAGACCACTCAATCGATTTCATCCACTTGAAAATTCGTGTAAAAGTGGCTAATTCAACTTTTTAATGGACTTGTTAGTTCCGCAATATTCCAGCTTCAGAGACTTGATCAGGATTCGAGGATGTTCCTTGGCTCTTTTACTTCTTTCGAAGATCATGTCAAATCGAGGCACTTTTTTTCTATTTTTCGCTTAGATGTGCTCGGCATATGCTAAAGCCAGAGCATGATGGCAAGAATTGATCGAGACTAAAATTAAAACTACTGAGTTAAATCGAATTTGTATCTCAATTTCTAACTCCACCCCTAATTGTGGAAAGAATGATATTCCAAGAGTTCGAAACATCGTAGAAGTGAAATGAGTAAGAATAACCATTGCATTTTTAGCTATCAAATAAGCAAGTTAAGCTGAATTTAAACGAGATAAAATAAATTGATTTATTAAATAAGTGGGTAGTTGACTAGATCAAAAATTACTTGAGTTGAAACAATTTAGCCTTAAATAAATTAAAAGGTGGATCATAACCCCTATTCGTCCAATCCGTACCAAACTTTAATTATTTTATATATTTTTTAATACTTTTTTTAATATCTAAGAAAATTAACTTTCCTTTATTATTGCTATATATTAAAAAAATCAAATTTAAAAAATATAATTTTTTTGAAACTATTTGGTAATATTTTGCATGAATCAATTTAGGCTACATATTAATCTAATTTTGAGCTGAGAATGGATTTGACTGAAATAAAATGAATTAATACATGAGTCACGAGTGAGTTAATGACCAAACTAAACTTAGACGATTCAAATAAATTATATTTTAAAAAGCTAATTTTACCACATTTATTCATATATTATAAAGTTTTAGTTTTATCCGTGTCAAATTGAAATAACAATAGTTATAAACAACTAGCTCTCAAATTAAATAATTATTTAAAATAGTGAGAGATATAACAAAATCATCAAATAAAAAAATGATTCGAGTTATACTAAATCACCTATAGAGTAAACTTTTTAGAGAATTTATTCACAACTTTGTCCATGTGAACTTATTCATATTGTCAATCTTGATTTAGAATTAAAAAATAAGAAGAATTATGATAGATTAATTGTCAATGTAAAACTAATTAATTCATTATGACTCCTGACAAATGTTATTTTGCTAAAATAGGAAGAAAATTTAACAATGTGAATCAGAAGTAAAATGGAAAATTAATAAATGACTAATAAAAATCCCAACAAAAGCATCAGAAAGAAATGAGAGTAAACAGTAAACTCATAATAACTTGATCAAATTAGTTACAAAATTTCCTTTTAAAGAATCTATAAAAATTGACAAGAAATACATTTAATGTGCATTGTCTAACAAATAGTTCATATTATTCTTATCTTCTAATAAATGATATATATATTTATTATTATTATTATTATTATTATTAATAAATCTATATTTATTAAGTTCACAAAAATAATCCTAAAACTATTATTTTTTAATTTCAAAAAATATATCATGTGGCTATTTCAAGGATTTAGATAATGTCACGTGGCAAAATTTGATAGTTCGTACTAAATTCCGCTAGTGGCACAAATGAATCAAATATGTCAATGCGATGACATAAATAAGTCCAACTAATAATAGATGGCATAGTTAAGTCATTAATAAAAAAATTGATGACATATGTAAGATTTTTTTTCATTATTTGGTAAATTTTATGAATAAATTTTGATTATCTCATATATATAGGTACTTTTCTTCCATCGTATATTTTATCTTTCGTGAAGTTAGCATGAAATTTCAAGAGATTGTAAGTTGTTTAAGACACTTTTAGTCTATCTTAATTCATTTTTTTAACATTTTCATTTATCGTTGTTTTAGTTTAATATCTACAGACTTGCATTATTTTGAGAATTTATCCTCAACTTCACTTTTGTAAGCTTACTTATATCACTGGTCCCATGTTTGAATAAAAGAGGAGAATCGTGATTTCTTCTATTGCATATCTTATCTTTTGTGAAATTCGTATAAATTTCAAAAGATTATAAGTTTTTGCAAGATAATTTTAGTCTATTTTATTTTTTAAACATTTTCATTTAACGTGTTTTTTTTAATTTAATATCTACGAACTTACACTATTTTGAGAATTTATTTTCAATTTCATTTTTTTTAAGCTTACTCACATTACTGATCCCAAATTCGAATAAAAGAGAAGAATCATAATAGTCTAATAGTTATCAACATAAAACTAATCAATTCAGGATAAGTCCAAATACCACATGTAATTTTGCTAAAATAGGAAGAAAAATTAACAAGTGTGAATCAATAGTAAA